ACTACAAAAAGAGAGTGAAGAATTAATTGCTTTAATCGGATTTGTTTCCCATCGAAGCCCACTAGTGTACAATTAATTTTTTGGAGATCCCCGTCGTTAAATGCTCAATCTCTTTTATTTTTTGTGCATAAGAGAACTAATGCTGTTAAACTATGCATGCGCAAACAGGATGTGAATAATAAGTTGCCTATCAGTTGGTTAAAGCGCCTTTAAAGACAACAGAAGTTTCCGGGTTCGAATCCCGTTCGGGACTTACCGTATCCACACTGTCCGAAAGCTTTGGTTTTCTATTTGCGGCTGTTCACTTAAACGTGTACGTTTTAGCTGTTGCTTATCAAATAAATTTGTACCGGTATCTCTACCGATCAAGCCATTGCCACAGCATTGTTTTCAGTACTTTCCCTTTTATTAATATATATTTTGTCGACAAGACAGGATCTCCGTAATACAATTAATAACGTGTCATTATAAGATAATAAAACATGTGTTGCGTTAAAACAGTACCTTTGTTATACCTTTGTTGAGCCTCATCTTGATCGTAATAATACTGAATGTAATTCTGATGGTCGTCGTTGTCTTGGTCTTGGTCGTCACACGTGACCAGCGCCAACAGCATTACCGTAATCAACGCAATCTTCTGCTTCATCTTGCTTGGAAACAGACTCTTAGAGCACGATGTTGTAGATGTCCTGTTGTATGCCTATTTGCCTTATCTGTTTTCGCCCACTGATTCCTCGAGCCAGTGGTGCGAGGAAATGAATTCTTTCATCGGATCTCGGGATACTCTCCATCAATATTTTACATAACACTCTTCTAGAGTGTATCCATGTAAGGGAAGATGAAGTAAGCTCTCTTCTCCCGGCGTAACAAAACTATGACTCAAGAAACACTTGAGTTCAATAAATCATAATTGATAATAAATCAAATATCAGATAAGTTCGCAAATGATGCATAATAGCATAGGACCTGAGTGAAAACGGTTGAAAATCAAAAGAAAAAAAAGAAGAAAAAATAATGTATATTTATTACCTATTTTAACTGACAGTGACAATCAATGAATTAGACACGCGTTGTGCTGCTGTTTGGTTTGAGGATAATGATCAGCACATTACAGCTGGAATAGTAACTTGCAGTTGATGTGTCAAATCACGAGACTTTCCAGAATTAAATTCATGATTTTCACCAATTATGTCTCTGTAGTATTTACTTTTGCAATTTACTCTATTGTCAAAATACAATATTATATTCAACCATATTATGAAATTACTCCTTATAACGTAAGCTTAAATAATATAATTAGAATATTATTTAATTAATTTTTACTCATATTTTTTAACCCCAACATTTTCCGATTGTCTTGCACCTTTATCAAAATGATTGTGATGAAACTCCAAAGCTTAAATTGATGATATGCTTACTGAGTCCTACAATATTTCAATAGCTGCATCATCTCCAGGATAGCGATTCTGATTGGCATTGTATTTTGTTCTTCTTGCAGAACATGACAAAGTCACATTTGGTTACCAATTACAGAAACGTCACAGAGCCATTCGATCATTTTAAATCATGTGTGTGTTTTGGGGTGAGGAGGTTATTGTGTGTACGTATGCTGTGTAATCAAGACCAGGTGAGGAACATGTAAGTATTAATGTAGGAGAACAAACTTAAAGTTAATACGACACTGAACGAGCTATGTACCACGCTTCGAGCGCTCTTATGTTTATGAAATAGTGCTATATAAATGCTGTAATGTATGTATGTATGTATATTCAAGTTATTAGGGCAGAGGAACTGAAATAAAACATTCTCCAAGGTGGCCTATGAAGTACACATATAAGAGACACACGGTGTGTTTCAATAGTTTTTTGATATTTTTATTTCTTTAGAAAAGCTTTCTGCAGCAGACTTTGTACAAACACGACACACTTTAGAAAACACACACACAGTGCGATGTTGCAAGTGGCCTATTAAACATTTTTAGGAACCATAATATAAAAATTGACAATTATTATACAAAGCAATCATTTATTTTTTCTTCGATATTCATTTAGCGGGAACAACTACTAAATAAAATCTGCGACACATTTTTTTTTCTTTGAATTTATCTACCAGCGCAGTCCCCACGGCAAGCGGTTGTCATCACAACACATTCACCAACCGATACGGCAACCAATGTCGGATCAGACTTACACCGAACAACTTCGAGTTTGCAAAGATTTGGGTAGGTCGTTCCGTCACTTCCGCATCAAACTAAAATAAGAAGTTTTACCATGGGCCGATTTTCCTTTAATTGTAATAATTAATTAGAGAAATATTTGATTTCAATAAGCGTCTCATTTAATTCATAATCTAAAACATTAAAAATTTCGGACGTTCTAGTTTCTATTTTTATTCATCATTGCTGCGTCACCATAACGGGATTTTCATTAGTGTGACATCAATGAATTGACAAAAACTATTCAAATGAATAATTAATTACAGTATAAGCATTATTTAATTGGATTTTTTTAAATTTTTAAAATGATATTGCAGAGATAAACATTACAAAAAATAAACCGAGAGAACACGATCGATTACCATAAAAAGCATATTGCTGCTGTAGTTTGTTAGGCCTAACAATCTTAATAATTTACTTTTATCAATTAGGCCTATTTGAGTCCAGAATGGACATATTTCCTCAGTCTAAATGTCATTTCCATCAAATCTTAATTTTACCATGCAAATTTTGTATGCATTCTATCTTTGTATGAGATTACATACTTATAATATTGATTCATTTATCCGTCTTTTTATCAACTTATCAATTTCTTTGTTCGTTCATTTATTAATTCGTTTTTATTCATGCAGTCATTCATTAGTTTATTGTTTAATCATATCAGTCATTTGTTCTTATGTTCGTTTATTAAGTTTATTTGTTCGTTTGTTCATTCGTTTATTATGTCCAACAACAGGTGACGATCTACTCAGATATGTGTATGCTCTCTCTGAATGAATGAATGAATAAATAAATGAATAAATTAATTATTAACCTTTAACCTTTACCTTGCGTAGCAGGACATTTAACAAACTTTGTCTCCGAGCTTGAGCTACCACCCTGTGCCGGTGCCTGAATACATTTGCGTCTCTTAAACCCAATAATAGCTACTGGTCCTGTATACGTGAAAGGACAAATAATATAAAACATAAGTTTATAAAAGTAAGATAATGTAATAAATTTTATATTGAGTTCCCCTTATTCTTACAACTAACAACGGGGTATCTAGGAATATTAACCTGGGGCTAATGGGGTCGTGATGAGAACTGCCAGCTGCCGAGGCGATAGATTTAGTACGGTTTAATTTTATAGTTTTAACTCATAACTGTTCGACATTAACTGAAGTGCATTTTTTATTGAATTTAAGTAGAAAAGTTTTTGGCAATATTTATAATAATAATAATAATAATAATATAAATAATAATAACTTTTTACAAAATTGAATAATTTATTTCATTTCATTCATTTATTACGCCTTAGTTCCTGAAAAATAAATTAAATGAAATAAACATAAATTATTTATATTTATGAATATTTTTGAATATAATTTATATGATAAATTAAGCCGTTTTACTTGCAGTTTTTACTTGCTCACTGCTGTCATAACCAATTTTATAATACAACTCACTAAATAATAATAGGATAATAAATTATGAGCGTACCTGTATTTGTGCATGCGCCTCGTGATACCATGGATATACTTGGATCCAGACATTTGGCATTCAACAAGTAGCATCGGTTTCGATACGTTAGGCCATCGCTGCCACACTTAGGTTTTAGGTGTTTTTGGCATTGGTAAATACAGGCTGTAAATATACATAAAAAGCATTAAAAAAAAAACGCTACTAAAAATATATCTAGCGTTTTTCTTTTTTACTTGGTAAAATATAGATTTTAATAATAGTTCAAATAAAGAATAAATTATTTTTAAAAACATTATTTAATATCTTCGTACAGACTGCACAAGTATGTCTATGAGCATCACCAAAACCTCTTAACCTCGTTATAATCGCCATCATGGGCATATTTTATTTATTTATTATTTTTATGTGCAGTTATTTGGAAACAATTTTATTAGGATAAATTCATAATATTATAATATACAAGAATATGTCTTAGGGAATTCTGTGAATGTTATAGTTATTTCATATTCATATCTATATAAGAAAAAATAAGAAGACAAGAGGAGGACCACAATATAGACTAGCAGGAGTAACGAGAAACTATGTGAACTAGCTTACATGACAGGGTATAATAACTATATAATTGAATAATATAATCATAACAATAAACAACTGTGTTGATATTTGATTAACTTACATGTTTTACAGTTGAACCCTGTATAACCAGGTGGACACCTACATGTGTATGTGTCGATACCATCTACGCAGATCTTGCCACCTGAACACACGACGCCGGCACAGTTATCAACATCTTAAGAAGAAAAAAAGATTTTTACAATATCACCAATATATTTTAGATCATCATAAGCGAAAAAACAACATTGAATATATTTAGTGAATTCAGATGATTTTTTCAAAAATAATAATAATAATAATAATGTTGTATGCCCATATTTAGTCATGATGTGCCTATATATGGTCATGATGTGATGTCATCATGACTATATTTAGGCATTTCATATGTTTTTGTTAAATAAATGTGGTAGTCTGGACAGGGCTTGAATATAAATAGGCCAACCAGCATTGGTGTAAAAATAATATCAGATGTTTATGGGAACGTCATATGTGATGCCCTCTATCGGCAGATCTAATCCCGTCAGGTTTGTCTCCGTGGTTCCCCTATCAAGAAGGAGCTCTGATGAAGTAATTTTGAAACAGTGACGAATGTTTTTTGCAAGTTCACCTTTAGGATTGGTTTACTACAAGTGACTACATAATAACAATATATAATTAAGTTACCAACTGAAGTTACTTGAATATTTAAAACATAATGGAATTGTCATCTCGAATCTAGTAGTGTTTGAACATAAATTTGCAAGGACAAATTCTTTTAAGAACTCGTTTTTTTTTAAATAAATTTTTCCCGTTTATGGCAATCAATCTCCCCTGAAATAAGAATGCTTAATTTAGATTATTTTAATTCTGTTTAATATTTATTTTATAATTCTTATATATATTCTATGTAAACGTTTTACTGGGATTTTATCGAATAGCTTATTGCTAATTGCTCGTTTTTTTTTTGTTTTTTTGTTTTTTGCTTTTTTTAAATCAATTTTTCTCGTTTATGGCAATCAATCTCCCCAGAAATAAGAATGCTTACTTTAAATAATTTTAATTCTGTTTAAAATTTATTTTATAATTCTATATGTTCTCTGTGAACGTTTTACTGGGATTTTATATTAATGCTAATTTTAATTCGAACAGCTTATTGCTAATCTGTTTGAATCTTCTATATTGGTTTTTTAGGTTTTTTTTTTCTTTTTTTTTGTAAAGATGTTTAGTATAGAAGAGCCATTTGATAGTGCTTTCACATATGGCAATCCTCAGGTAATGAATATCTTGTTTATTGTACGTTCTTTTCTTGTACTACTTTTACCTGGATATTAATAAATGAAATATATATGTAATTACACAGTGAAATAACTCAGGCCACGGTAAGTCGAATACATACACTTCGTATATACTTACTAATCTCACAATTTCTGCCTTCGAACCCTGATGGGCAAGTACATATATAGTCATTCAGCAGGTCGGTGCAGAAAGCTCCATTCTGGCAAAGATTTGACGCACAGTTACTCGACTCAGCTAGATCAGTATAAAAAAAAAATCAGCATAAACATTTTATATTATTATATGCGGCTAACTCGTTAGTGTCGACTACAGCTTGCTCGAGCCTACAGCACCCGGGGTCGAAGACAGTCTCCCATCTAAGTGTCCCAACTTTGCTTAACTTCAGTGACCCAAGGAGAACCAGTGTTTTTAACGCTGTGGTGCCGTAGATTTGAATTATGCATTTAATGCATTTCTTTTGGATAAGCTACCGTACCTTAGTCCTAATAAATAATATAGTATTTGGATATTAAATTGTTTTACTGTATACGCAAATAATTTGATAGGATAACTTACTTGTCTGATTAAAGATGGAAAAATGAATGAAAACAATTTAAAAAAAAAGAGTGACAATAAAGGTGGGTGACTCCCACGAAAGACAAAAAAAAACTTACTTGTCTGATATGTAATATAAAAGCCAGGCCTTTCTATATTACGGTCAGATTCGAACACAAACCAGGCATTGCCTCCCTGGATGGTGAACTGTTGTGGAACAGTGGTGAGATTGCCTTGCAATACACTATAATTACCAGTGAAATTCCACAATAATCCAGGCGCATATTGTAACGCATCCTTATCAAACTACAAGGAATTATACAAGTTTACATTATACTATATTTTAACTAATAATATGACTACTTATTATCATTCGCAAGTATTATTATATATATAATAATAGAAAAATGACAATAATATTTAAACAATTGGCAAAAAATAACAATTAGGCCTAGTATTGAAATTAATAATTTTGTTATATTATTATATAAATATTAATAGGCCTAATAATTATAATAAAAAAAATATCATTAGTAGCATTATTATTGATAATAATAACTAGATGATGATGATGTTGACCACGATGATGAAGATGACGTCGATACGATGTCAATAATAATGTAACGATAACGAAGATGATATTAAAATACTAATAACAATAATATAGCAATAATAATGTAATTATAATTAATGTTATATTTGGTAGGCTACATAAGCATAATATTACATCTGCATGTAACCACTCGTATTCTGACATACCTCTGTATCGAACGCCCGTACGGTGAATGTTAGCTGTTTGGCACCGTGGACACGTACGTTGTAGTGACAATTCTGATTATTGCCGTATCCTACGGGGTAGTTAGGACTTATAAGTTCTCCAGTATTTTCATATAAATTATAACCACAATTTTGAACTGCAAAGGAGAATAAAGTCGGAATGCTAGTTAATCAATTTATAGATTTAGATTTAGAATGAAATAGTATGCAATAATGGTGATACAGTACTAATAACAGGCCTATAATATAGGGATATGTCATCATAGTCAATTAAGTTGTGACCGTTTGCGTATTGATTTTATAGGATTAGAAACATACGGACATTAGTGTTAATGTATGTCCTGTCTACTAGGCATGAGCAGTAAAATTCATTGAAACTAAAAGACTGGCAGTAGAGTAATAGTAAGATAGTTAAAATAGTGTCAATTCAGTTCAAAAGAACACTGTCTTACATGTGTTAACGTCACAGTTTTTTCCAGCCCAGCCATACAAGCAGCGGCATGTGTATTCGCCTAATACTCCATCACCTACGCAAACGGCTCCATTTCGACATGGGTCCAATTGTGTATACATACGTACACGCACGACTAACGTGACTGTTCGGTTTATCATACGTTCATAATCTGTTTTCACTATTATATTTCAAATCAAATCATACTTTATTAACCTCCTGCGAGACTGTAGACATACAAATACAATTACAATGCAGATAATGACAGAACGTAAATAAAAATTAAAATAGCTTAAACACTTCAATTATTATTCTTGTATCTTGTATCTCAAACGAAATCCAATCATCACATTGTACAACAAATGTTCAAATAACTTTATCTGATAATCACATACTTCTCCCTTTTATGACCAATATTTTACTGACTTACCTTGTCCAAAGGCACTTAGTAGCAGTGTCGCAAAAACAGACAGGATTAGAAATAAAGATTGCATAATGGCAGATTATCCTTATTCAATACAATCGCGTTAGTTTCTGATTACGGTTCTGAAGATGAATCTCTATTCCAGAGGCTTTATAAACTCTACCGAAAACCCCTTCTTTTTTTAAATCAAATCTACGTCACAACTATTTCCTATCGCAGGAAACCTCTCAAGATGCTAGGATTCCTATTCAACTTTATATCTATTTTGAACAAAAGTAAGAGGAGTACGTGCCAAGTCATAAGCCAATTATTATTCATTGGACTAACACCTGTGAGAAGGCGTAGAATTATAGAAATTTTATGTCCGCCTTTTGTAGGCCTCTGTCGGTCTAAGGCCATTATATTAACATAGAGGTATACCACCATGATATTAACATCCCATGGTTATAGAATGACATGGTATCCTACTTAGGCCTATACATTATAACGTATTCAGTAGTGTCATATTTACAATTAAGCCTTTTTATACCAAATTATTTATTTGTTTCGTTTATTTATTGAGATTGCTTTGTGAGAGGGCTTTATAAGAGTATAATTGTAAAATACAAGAAAACTGGGAAAATAAAGAATAGTTACACTAATTATTTTCTACCGTACTCAACCTTTGCTTTGTAATCAAAAAGACAACATTACTATTATCATGATAATCGTCTTTATCATCACGTCAAAATATCGTCATCAGTTTATTATCATCAATATCTTTTTATCACAATCGTCATCATAACAATCATCATCATCATAATCACCACCTTTCAACTAATGCAAAAGTGAAGCTTTTATGGTGTGGATCAACACAAAAAAAATGCAGGGCTATACACAAGAAGAATAAGAAGGAAATAAAAGAAAGAAAACAAAGAAAACATTGTAGAATATAGTTCCAGTCGCATTATGTCTATAAATTGGTAGCAACAATGAGTTTCGATGGTTAGTCACCGATTACGGTCTACACATCTGAAATTTAAATCGTTCTTGAGCCAATTAAAAACCAAGAAAATATACAATTTTAATTTAACAATTTTAACCATAATATGACAGATACCAAATATGTTACGTGTTGTCGTTCATTTTTCCATCATATCCGTCTAAGTAATTATGATCCCATGGCCAAAAATGCTATCGATTCGATAATTTATAGTTTAAGTTTTCGAGGCCGAAATAGGCATATGCCTATTATTTAGTCCGCTGATTAAATTATCGTTGGTGGTAATTGACGTATAATAAAATATGTTTCTATTTAGTAGCATTTTCCTTATTATTGCTAAATGTATTATGATAGATTACACAAAATAGTTGTTGTTTGGTGTAGGCCAATCAATAATAATAAAACCGAACACCAATTTAATGCGCCACTTCATCACAGACTTACGTTAACGGTTTGCGATTCTGTTATTCTAATGAATTTTAGGAAAATAACTTGGTTTTTATTTTTTTTAAATAAATAATATTGTTGACGTTAAATCTGGACATTATGTCAGAAACCTATGTGAATAGGCCTATTATAATGGTACGTGTTAACGCACAACATGATTGAGCAATTTTTTCCGGAAAAAATAGTAAACACAATGACGAATATTTCCCTTTTTTTTATAAAGCTGACCCACTTGATATATTTAGGTTAAGTGTATAAGTGGCAACAAAAAATAATATTCGCATTGTTCCTAGAGCATATCTTAAGCACTGTCACGATTTTAAAGCTGTGACGGCCAAAATTTAATTTTATAATTCCTGTGACAAATAATATATCACGCGCAGTTGCTGAATTCTAAATATATAGGCCTTTAGGCCTATATATATAAAACTGAAGGCATGTTAAAGCTAACATTTTAAGGCCAACTCAGACGCGATTTGCTGTGCGTGCTGAACACAGACGCGATGGTTTTCGTGGAGGCGGTCGCAACATGGTCGCAACCGCGAGACTGTCCCCTACGGTGAGTCGCGTCGAGCTGCATCGTACGACGCTGTCTGGGTTGGCCTTTAGGTACATGTATCGGATAAAGATCGAATTTGCCCATCCTAATCTTTTATCTTTAATATAATATTATTGTCAGAATCATATAGGCCTACGTCTTTAATTAAAGCAGGTGGTAAAGTATGTACTCGACAAAATAGTCTCCCACTATGTGAAATAGACCAAGGTGATAAATAA